TAATATGGTGGACACCATTACGGTGCGTACACATTATATAACATAACATGTTATAAAACGTATAGGCTGAATTTTATAAAACGTGTTATATAACGTGTCACAACTGTTATATAACTCGAACGGCAGAACGACGAACGACAATGTCATACGACAATGTCATATAACATTGTTATATTGCATTGTTATTCCAATGTGTACAGTATTGTTATATGATGCAATGTTGAAAAACAATGTTACAAAATGTGGACGTGTTATAAAACAAAAGTTACACAACATGTTACTTTATCTGTACGCACCCTTAAACAAAACATAAGAAAATTATGTAATCACCACATGTAATTTTTTTAAAACAACATATAATTTAAAATTTTGTACAACCGACTTCAATATAAATTATTAAGAATAACTCAAAAACTATTGGTCAGATCTTGATCAAATTTATATGGGACCACATGAGAAGCACCAGCTTTCAAATAAAAAAAAGAATCATCGAAATCGGTTCACACAGTAAAAAGTTATGAGGTAACACACAAAAAAACATACAGTCGAATTTAGTACCGTCTTCTTTTTGAAGTCGGTAGAAAATAGAATTTATGGTAATAGAGAGTGAAAGGCAATTACGTATCAAATAGCGTAAATTGTTTCCCCACACCGTGTGCAATAAATTTATAAAAATTGTGTGACCAATGTAAAATGTTTGTCGAAAATTGACAATATATTCTTGCTGGTTTGTAAACTCCAGCGGAAACAAAAAAATTACAATAAGGGCGATAAACAAGCACACAGTCCACCTAGTTATAAATGGATGCTGTAAACCACAGACATCTATATTTAACCTCGATTAAGAACCAAAATGCAGGCGCTTTGTCACCTACAGGGACTAAGAATGCCTCGTTTCCAGTAAAAAGAGTCTACGGTTACGAAACACAGCAGCATTAAGCTGCTATTTTACGCTGGTATTCTGTGAGAGCGTTGTCCTACCTACGGCCGATCCATTCGTGTTGCAGCGTGGCTCTACCACGTAAATACGTCATAATTATATACTTTTTAGTTCTTTTGAAGGAGGATTTTACATTTTTAAAGGTTAAATTATTATTATTATTATTATTGTAAGAAAACATGTGACAATACATATGCATTACTAAATCATTTGCAAACAACAACATGTTTTTATATGCGTCCAGCAATGGACAATTACTGACTGATAAATAAAGAAAGAAGGCAGATGTGTGCGTGAGTGCGTGTTGTGTCAAGAAGTTGAACATGGTTTCGGCGTCACTTAATACATACTCATATCATTCTTTGTTGATCTGAGATGACGAGTGATGACTTTTGTAACATTGACGGCTCCGTGGCGCAGTGGCTTAGCAATGATTTACTGCGCTCAGGGCCGCGGGTTCGAAGCCCCACTAAGAACAAGTGTTTGTATGTAGCGAACCGTTTGGTTCGAATGCGTGGTAAGTCGACAACGAAAGGTTGCGGAGACTGGCCGAGCGTTTGGTTGTCCGATGGTGGAAGTGGACCCACCACCAGTGCTTGCGCATACACTTAGACTATAATCATGTCGTGTGACGACGGCTAGTCGTTGAGGCTAACCACCGTGACCGAAATTCGGTCTGGAGAACATTCATAATATTCTTATTTAAAATAAGCTATAATAAGATAATTTAAAATTAAAAATTTTGTACAACCGACTTCAATATAAATTATTAAGAATAACTCCAAAACTATTGGTCATACCTTGATCAATATTTTTGATCAAGGTATGACTAATTTGATTTTCAATAAGCATTATATATTACATACTATTCTCCTACACCATATCGTCCCAGGTGTCGTAAAGGGCGACAAAGGGAATCTAAAGCAGGAGATGGGCAGCAGCATCTTCTTGCTAACAACTTGAAATAATAAAAAAACTGCGGTTGCCAAACTGACTGCCAAGCGTGACAACTATGGCAAATTTACTCCTTATGAGGCCTATGGTTCACCAGTCGTAAATGAGGGCTAATAATTTTCTGCTCACCAGATGTCGCTAGTTGACACTGAGGTAAAGTTTTTTGTTACACAATGTAATTTAATTGAGAAATTGTTTTTTAATAAAAGTGTGTCAGTTTCTAGAGTATTATATTAATACACAAAACAATGGCTCAGGGTTTGCTCTTTAATTTTTTGCACATTTTTAACTTTTTTTTTTAATTTTACTACTTTTATGAAATTCCGTGGTTTGGTTTATTTATTTTTAATGTTATTAATATAAAATATAGCTAATAGCACAAAAAGAAACAATAACTTTTACATTTTCCGAACAAATTATCTTCTCCGCTATGAAATCTGTCAAATATTACACCTCACTTTCTAGTGGCGCCGCTCTAGTGGCAGGAAATGTCGTGGATATCCTCATTCAACTGTAATGGATGAATGTATAGAAGATAATGTACCAGGAGCACATGAGCCACTGAGAGGTGAAATTTTCAAATCAACAGTAACATTACAACTATAGTAAATATCTCCCCTATGAGGCAATCTATGGGGGAGGCCTATGTTCAGCAGTGGACTTTAATAGGCTGTAATGGATGGATGTACAGAAGATAATCTACCAGGAGCACATGACCCACTGAGAGGTGAAATTTTCAAATCAACAGTAACATTACAACTATGGCAATTATCCCCCCTATGATTTATAATATAGGATTTTTATAAGCTGTAATATCCATTACTAATTAAGGAGTAAGTATGATTTATAATCTATAATAATTAATACTAGCTAACCAGGCAGACGTTGCTCTGCCCTTTTCGAAGACCCTTCATATAAAAAGATCCTTAAATTCGTAATAAAAAAATATTGAGTGTCACTTATCAGGATAAAAACTATCCTATCTCTTAAGTTGGACGAAACTGCACAGAGTGTGCAAAAATTTCATTGAAATCAGTTCAGAAGCTTAGAAGTTCATCGCGGACAAAAAAAGTGACACGTAATTTTTATATATAAAGATTAATATTTCGAAGACGCGAAGTTCACCAACACGCATTGGTGCAGCGCGGCGAGCACTTCCTTGCCCCAAAACCCTCTCAGAAATGAGGGGAGGCCTGAGCCCAGCGGTGGGACGTATATAGGCTGTAACTTTAATTTTTATCTTTTATAATCTATACTTAATTAAAACGCTACGCTGTGAAAAAATATCTTTGAAGGCTGGCTGAATGAGACCACATGACTATAATCGTTTTTATAATTACCAAATTGCCTATTTATTGGTAATATATTAAAAACCAATTCACCAGTTTAATTAATATAAGATAATATTCTTTATTACTGTAAAAATATCCGTGTAGTCGACGTGTTGTTGTTTATAGCTGTAAATTCGTTCAATTCGAAATTCAAATAAAAAAGAAAAAAAAGTCTTACATATTATTATTAATATAAATTTCGTGATTTGTGATAGAAAATCTATCCTTATGAGTTTTAATTTTAAATTTCGAACGATTCATTGTGAATGGTGATTAATTCTTAAGCGTACAATGTTAAGGGTTAATGTTTTTTGTTTTTTTGTGTGCTTTGTGGTTTATTCCAACGCACATTATGAGGGTGAGTTGATTCTGTAACTATTTTAATTATTTTCAAAATTAACGAACTTCAATAGTTACAAATAAATTGCTTTTAAGAATTCATGGTCTGAATCTTAGTATAGATTACATTCGCACATGCATTTTGCATGGTAGAGCCAAGCTGCAGCTATATGGTTGTAGCACGAATGGGTCAGCTCGACCGGGGTAGCATAAAATGGCAGCTTACTACTGCCGCGTTTCGTATGGAGAGCAGAGAACCGGAGACCCTTTTTACTGGACACGAGGGATTCCATCTTAGTCCTCACGGGTGACAACGCATCTGCATTTTGATTCGTAATCGAGGATAGATGTAGATGTCTATGGGCCAAAGCAACCATTTACCATCAGGTGGACTGTGTGCTCGCTTGTCACCCAATTCTACAATATATATATGATCTATGACACTAATAATGAAAAAAGATAGTCTTGTTTCTAGAATTTGATTTTTAACTGAGTTTAAAAAAAAGGTTCTTTATATCTAATCTATATACGATGCCATTTTTTTATGTACATATGTTTATACTTTCAACGTAGTGATTATACAGGGTTATTTCGCAATAACCGGCCAAATTTGCAGAGAAGGTTCAGAATAAGTGATATTGGCGAAAGGCGAAAAAAAATTAATTAAAAAAATTAAAAATGTTGTACAATCGACTTCAATATAAATTATTAAGAATAACTCAAAAAATATTGGTCACACCTTAATCAAATTTATATGGGACCACGTGTGAAGCACCAGCTTTCAAATAAAAAAAAGAGTCATCGGAATTGGTTCACTCATAAAAAAGTTATGAGATAACACACATTAAATAAACATACTGTCGAATTGAGTACCGTCTCTGTTTTGAAGTCAGTAGAAAATATCATTATTTATATAATTTTAGTCTAATATAGAAATTGGCTACTCTTTGAACATTAACCCTGTGTAAGAATAGAATAGAATAGATTTATTTTTAATTCAATAAAAATCACAATATGTAACTTCACCATTGGTTGGAAATAAAACCTTTGTCCTGGGAAGAATCAGCAGAAATCTAGGGGCTATTTTAAAAGTAAATTTTGCATGAATGGTTGTACCAAACTATTTACAAAATTTATTAAAGAAACAGCTTGGAAGCGACCGCCTCATTCCCAGGGTTTATTATCAACCATGTATTCAAGAGGCAGCTCACCTAATTGTAAGTGGCTCCAACCGGTCTTGAACAACTGCAACACCAGGGGAATTGAAGATGCGTTGCCGGCCTTTTCAAAAAGAGTAGTTTCTTGTCTTAAGGGTCCCTAAGTCATATCGGTCCGGAAGAATGGTCGGTGGTAGTCGATATTTATTAATAATTAAAGAGTTTCCTATTTCAGGTTCATCCTGTGTTCAAAATGGATACAGAGGAGTGTGCACGGTCTTGACGAAATGTCAATCAGCAATAAATAACATCAGGAATGGGAGGCAGCCATTGGTGAGATACAATCGCATTTTTTTTTCATTTTTTTATAGAATAAGGGTGACGAACGAGCACACAGTTCACCAGATGTTAAGTAGATGTTGTGGCCCATAGAAATCCTCAATTTTGTCACCAGTAACAATTCGAGCCAACACTCCATGTTCATCTTGGCATAACAAAAGTCAGCGCAAGATGGGTGCCTATTCATGAAGAGTTTTGAAAATGGTTGTATCTGATACTGCATCCATTTCTGCGAGCTGTTTTTTCTTTAGGCGGGCATCTTCTAATATAAATTTTTCGACCTTTTGAATAATTTCCGAAGTGGTCACCTCGATCGGCCTTCCAGGCCGTGGGTCGTCTTCAAGTGACTCTCTACCTTGTTTAGAAAAGGTATGCCACTTGTAAACTATAGTTTTCTTGGACAAGAGTTTCCGTAAATGGATGACATCTCTTCCAGTATAGTCTGCACTGATTTTCCGCGCTTGGTAAGGAACTTTATAACGGCACGGAACTCGATTTTCTCCATATTTCACAATTCCTTACCGATTGACTTGTTTGGTTGACGATAACTCAAAGACTAATGATCTAATTACAATAAAACCCGGTATTTATACTAATAATGAGTTGCTCAATAAGCACGTAACTCAGCGACGTCCCCACTTATTACCTACCTGCTCATTCTGCGAACTTAAAAACGCACTCCCGTATATATATACCTCACTTTCAGTATCTACTCTTTAAGAAGAGATGATGGTTTTAGCAACCGACCGGTTGGTGAAAAGTCTCATCTCAAAGTTCGCATAAAAGTATAAAGTATCCTATATCCTACAACTGGGAAAGGTTTTTTTTATAGGATAAGGGTGACGAACGAGCACACAGTCCACCTGATGGTAAGTAGTTGCTGTGGCCCATAGACATCTACATCTATCCTCGTTTGCGAATTAAAATACAGATGCGTTGTCACGGTGAGGACTAAGATGTAATGCCCCTTGTCCAGTAAAAAGGGTCTCCGGTTCTCTACACTCACCATACGAAACACAGCAGCATTAAGCTGCTATTTTACACTGGCATTCTGTGAGAGCGTGGTCTTTCCTATATATATATAGCTGCAGCATGGTTCTACCACATATAAAACTGGGCATGGTCTTATCTAATTTCTGGCAAGGTTATGAATTTATGAAGCCGCATGTTTTGTATAGCCTAAGGGTGGCAGACAAACACAAAGTTCACCTGATGTTAAATGGATGCTGTGGCCCATAGACATCTACCTCGAATAATGGTATGAGGAAACTCATCTTACATAAACAAAGCGTACAGTCAAAAGAAATGTATATGAGCTCTATGTAACGTTGGGCCTCTGATATCATGGAGACTTTTTTTTTAAATAATAATTTGCTAACGCTGACTGGATTGTATATATTAGAGGTGTATATATTTGTCAAAAGAAAACAGTGTTTATTTCATAGCGCTCGTGACAATTCTATTATAGGTGAAAGGGACCGATAAATTGTTAATGCCTGCCTGCAGGAAAGCTTTGTTCCAGAAAAAATGTTACATAATGTGTATAAAAGCTTTTAAAGGTACCTGAAGAAAATAGGGAGTTTCCAACAATGAGAATGAAAACTCACTTAAAAAAATGTCTCATCCAGCGTTCTTTTTATACACTTAAAAACTTCTTTGCACATAATTAGACGATGCCTTTAATATTTTGACATAATATATGAAATAATGTTTAAATTATGGTATTCTTGTAAATTATTATTTTCTATTTTATTTAATTTTGCCATGATAACTGACTGATAGTTAAAAAAATTTATTGTATACTGGAACTAAATTAATTCATTGACTTTGTGTACGATATTAATTAGCATACCACAAACGGTGAAATGTGTTCGGCTATATTGCACTCATTTACAATGTTCTGTTACCACGTTTCTCGCAAATAAATATTTATTTATTTATTTATAAGAATCAAAATTTAAGATGGAGTAAAAAGGATTTTCGGTTCTCTACACTCACCATACGAAACACAGCAACATTGACACTGCCAAAAACGAAACTGTACGAGTCCATTAAAAAAAAATTATTATTAACTCCAGACGAGACAGAGGGGTGTTTGTTTGTAGTGTGTACCTGTGTATCTGTATATCTATGTGTCTGTCTGTGGCCACAGACTACTTAGTGGATACTACTCTGTGGCATCACAGCTCCTGAACGGATGAATCATTTTTGATTTATTTTTTTCCGTTCCCAAAAGTGGCTTATTCGAGAGTGTTCATAGCTGTTTCAAAAAAATATCTATTCAACCGTTGGAACATCATCAGCTCTTTTTATTCCGGGGGTTTATAAGTTTTTTAATTTAGGTTATTATTTAATATATTTTACTTGTTGTCTCCAGCTATGCTCCATCCGAGGTAGAGAGCGCATAGTCTGCTGCATGAACTCCTGGTACCAACCACGTCCCACAAGCTACGTGCCAAGACCTGTCGTCACTGTGCCGGCCACACCGGGGAACTATTACCCAAGACCTAAACCTACTACACATAGGTAAATGAAAAATCAGAGCAGATTTTGATGGTTTTTTTGTGTTTAATTCGATCCCTTGACGCCACCTACCGAATCCAATTGTAAATATGACTTACAATTCGACTCGGTAGGTGGCGCTACCGTCGAGATTCAGAAATCAACGGAGCCGAGACGGACTGCTGGTTATTGTATAATGATGTCACTTCTAAAACTATGTAAGACAAATCTAACACGACACCCCATATGTTAAAATTCCTCAAACCGTTTAGGCTACAGAGCGTGCCAAAGAAATAGACATATTATGTATGTATTACATAACCACCTGATTGCCTATAACTCACTCTCTATTCTACCCAAGGTTTGCTGGTAGACTTTGCCGTATAAGCACACCTTTTGTACAGAAGAGAATCATTCGATAAATCTATGATTTAAAACTTAAAGAGCCGCTCAGACAAAAGTTTAAGGAAATTTATATATTAACTTTGGCCTTTCAATACATTTAACAAAATGTAATTTAAATGTACGTACACAAAAATAAAAGTAGTTTTACAAAAATAAGCTTCATTAATTCTTTAAACACTAGGAACAGACACAATCTAGTAGTACCGGTTATACGACTCCACCGAGTCAGTAATTCATTCTTGGGGCGACGTATATGCATTTACAACAAAATCCCAGAAAATATACAAAATATGACCTGCTCAAAGTTCAAAAACTTTATTAAACTAAGTTTGTTTAAAAAATGTTATTATAATATTTACGAATTTATGGATGATTCTAATTTGTTTTGTGTTGCTAATTGGTTACCAGTGGTAGAGCCACGCTACAGCACTGTTAGTAGCATAGATGGGCCGGCTCGGACCGGGGCAGTACCACGACCTCACAGATTACCAACGTAAAGTAGAAGCTATGCTTCTGCGTTTCGCTTGGTTAGTGCAGATGGCCGCAGCGCCCCCCCCCCCCCCTCCATAACATGGTAGCGGAATACAGGAGGGTACCAACATCCCTGGTAATGGAGAATCCCTCACTGAGCATCCATGGCGACCACTCCGTGGACTTCTCCAACATCAGGGGACTTCACTCGAACCTTAACGCCGTCCACTTCCATTTATAACGTTGTTCTTTATGACCGAGACGCAGTATCCTCTCCGGTTGATACTTCGTACCTGTCCTACCCGGGGTATAAATTAGAACACTTCTTTGTGTCAATCTATAAGAGAGGCGTATTGTTCAAGCAGTGGACTTTGGATAGATGTATAGAAGATAATCTACCAGGAGCACATGACTCACTAAAAGGTGAAATTTTTCAAATGAACTGTACAACATTACAACTACAGCAAATATCCCTCCAATGAGGCAATCTATGGGGGAGGCCTATAAGTGTGAGTAACGATCCAAGCACAAGTCTTATCTGACACAATTCCGATGATATCCCGGACGTCAGTCTGAGCGAGATTAGAATGGCTCTCCAGCACCTTAAAAACGGCAGGGCCCCAGGTGAGGATCGAATTACAGCGGAGCTTCTGAAAGCGGGTAGAAAACCGGTACTTGAAGTCCTTCAGAAGCTCTTTAATTCCGTCCTCCGTGGTGGTACTACTCTGGAGGCGTGGAGCAGAAGTGCGGTGGTCTTGTTCTTTAAGAAAGTCGACAACGCTCCCTTGAAGAACTACAGACCGATTTCCAAGTGTCTCCCAACGGATAGGTCTTAAGATGAACATGGACAAAACAAAAGTAATGTTCATGTCACACCTATGCCAGTAGTTGTTGGGAGCACTAAGCTCGAAGTTGTTGACGAGTATGTTTACCTGGGACAAATGATTCGGCTAAGGCAAGTCCAACTTCGACCGAGAGGTCAATCGATGCATTCAATTCGGCTGGGCAGCGTTCGGGAAATTACGACACATCTATAGGTATACCTCAAAACCTAAAAACAAGATTGGGATAAGGTCGCTCAGGTAGCTATGGAAAAGGCTATGCTCGGGGTTTCTGTATGATGAACTTAGAAATGAGCATACAAACCAACCACAAACAGTAGAACCAAAGTGACCGACATAGCCCGACGGATTAAGTAAGCTGATGTGACAATGGGTCGGCCATATAGCTCGAAGAACCGACAACCGATGAGGAAAAAAGGACATTAAGATGGAATGACGACCTGGTAAGACATGCAAAAAGTCGATGGATGCAGGTGACTTAGGACCGTGCTTTGTGGCTTTCCGTAGGAGAGGCCTGTGTTCAGCAGTGGACTTGTGAAGGGCTGTAATGATGATGATGATGAATGATGAGTGGATGGATGTATAGAAGATAATCTACCAGGAGCACATGACCCACTGAGAGGTGAAATTTTTAAATCAACAGTAACATTACTACTATGACAAATACCCCCGTATAAGGCAATCTATCGGAGAGGCGTATGTTTATAAGTGGACTTTAATAGGCTGTAACGGTTGCGGTAATATATGTACATTCAGTCAAAAAAGTATCGGAAATGGATGATTTGTTTATGTTTCTAAATTCAATTTTTTTTTGGTGTTTTTACATTGGCACAACTGTTTTCCATTTTGGCGCAGAGTTTGAATTACATGTGTTATTTTAGATAAAATACAGTACTGTTTTTAGTTATATCATTATCTAATATGTATTGCGAGTTCCACAATAGACAAAACAACGAACAGAGTTTTTTTTATTCATAAAATTATAAATTGATAAAGCCTCTATCTTTGATCTAAATAACTGTCAGCTAACCTACCTTTGTAATTGTTCTAGACCTCATAATACACAAAATGGCTGCGGGCCTATTTCGCCACAGTTGACTGCACCCAAAACTGGCCGCAAAGCATGGGACAGTAAGTATTGTAAAATAGATAAAAATAAAAATAAAAACTCGAAACAAAAAGAGCCGATGAAATTCAAACGGCTGATAATATTTTCTTGAATCATCATCCTTTTATAAGTTTTATTTCTATTAAAAATATAAAAGCGCTTTCATATTTTTTAGGCCTTGATAGAGAAAGGACAAATGTACCATACAACCTATATCGATTTTATAATATGTGTAATCGAATTATTTTGAAAACATTATTAGTTTTCTATTATATTTTTTTAATAATTTTTTTAGTGTCTCTACTTGTTAATATATAGAAATATATATATAACCTAAACCTAAAAAATAAAACTATTCTATTAAACAGAAATAAAGGTCACAATGCACTTTATTTTTTAATTACTTACATCGGATATCTTGCTACCAAAAAAAAGTTGCTGAAATTATTGCTAAGTCGATAGCTAACAGGTATATATGAGCTAATGGTGCGTAATAGGAAGATTGTCTTTCTGAAAGTCCCATTGTTTCTTTCAGAATGTATTGAATATCAAGAAAAGTTGATATATCCTTGCGTTAGAAGTGCCGCATTTACTGACGATATGGTTCGTGCGCGCCGGTGCTACCACAGCATGGATGAGCTGATCGTTGGTGGACTTGGTGCGGCCAAGAGGGAATTCCCACACATGGTAAGTGTAATATATATAAGGTATGTAAGGTAGGTGGTATTTACTTAGCGTTACCATTACACCCTGTTAAAGTCCACTGCTGAAAATAGGCCTCCCCCATAGATTGCCTCATAGCAGGGATATTTACCATAATTGTAATGTTACTGATGATTTGAAAATTTCACCTCTCAGTGGGTCATGTGCTCCTGGTAGATAATCTTCTATACATCCATCCATTACAGCCTAAGTCCACTGCTGAACATAGGCCTCCCCCACAGATTGCCTCATAGGGGGGATAATTGCCAAAGTTGACACGCTTGGCAAACGGGTTGGCAATAGCAGTTTTTTTATTTTTAGTCGTTATTAGGAAGACGCTGCTGTCCATCTCCTGATTTGTTTCCCTCTGTCGCCTCTTACGACACACACGGAATGATATGGAGTAGTGGATATACTTACATCGCCACTAATTTACTTATAAAAAAGAAATGCAGTACAGATGCAATGGTTTGACAGTTAGGCAGTTAGGAAGGAATAGACGTTGAACAATCGAAAGTTTTTACAGTGGCGACGAGGAAATTTAGGAGGAGTAAAACAATATTTAGAGACGATGACAATAGACCAGACGGTATGAAATTGATCCCTTGGAAGAGAGGTAAAGCCCTAGTGTGAGATCCTATTTGCGTAGATACTTTGGCGGCCTCTCATCTCGGGGATACCTAGTTTAGAGCCGACGCGGCATCAGAGGCAGCTGAACTGAGTAAGTGGCGCAAATATGAGTCTCTGAGATATGACGACATATTTGTGCCATATGCTATGGAAACTATTGGTCCGTAGGGTCCACGTGCGGTGAAGTTCCTAAAGGAACTTGTTACGGCCCACAGCTGCCCCTGCAAAGGTCGCCTTGGCTAGGGCCTATAGTAGCCTCCTCGATGGGCAGCCGAGGGTTCGGACCCAAGTGGCTTTATGGAAAAATGACCTATCCTACTACACAATAGCGAGAAGGCTAGGAAAATAAATAGTAGGTACCTGGATCCGAATCTAAGACCGCCCCAAGGCTCGTTCAGGCCGTAGGTAGAGTAGATGCATGTAAAGTGGTGTTTAGTGGTGTGTATATGTAGGTGACCTGGCCCAGCTGAGGTGACCTGGCAGCGTCCGATTTCCATGCTGCCCCACAATGCTGCATCACTCCAGCAGGCGTCCCCAATGGACAATTTCTTTCTTCATTTCACTATTTCAGTCTATCAACTTTATTGTACATTTAACTAACTTCAACTCAACTAATTCAACGTTCATCGTAGAATCGAACACGTGATACCCGACACAAGTAACGAACAGTAGTTCAAAGTTCAATATTCAATGTTCCGGATTCATTTATCATCAAATTACAAATAGGGAACTAACGCGATCTCTTCATGAGTCACACGGTTCAGCGTTACAAACACAACTAAGCTCCTTCGTTCGATATTAAATACTACGCCGCAATAAGAATTCAAAATCAACCTAGCTGACACGTAAACTAGCTACTGAGTCAACACACAAAAGGCTCTTAACGCGACGGTATAATTAAACAATGATTTCCAAAACAATCAACCTCGAAAAGGATTGCGCGATTCAAATTCCACACCGTATCTCTACTAGGCGCGCGCGCGAAATTCCACGTCACACGAGCAAGTTAAATATTGCAAAATGCACTTCAACACGCAATCACTATATAATTGGCGCAATTACTTTCAAACGAAATTACTTTAATCAGTCAAATACAATACAAGCCTCTTGTCATGAACTTAAAACCTAGACAAACTAAACCGAGGCAGTTTTCACGAAACCACAATTACGTAGCGAAGCAACGCGCACAAATTCTAAAAATCAAAACCATAACCCAAAAACCGGTCGCGCGAAACATCTGCAGCGGTCACCGAGATACGCTAATTGACTGCACCGCTGCCCGCGAGCTACTGTCTCTCACCCACCAGCGCCAAACGCTGGGAAGCTGCGTTCCGCTGCCCCCTCCCCGCCACGCTCGTGACACCTGGTACCATCGGGCGATTCGCTAAGTCGAACGTGATTGGTTACCGTCTCAAATGACCATATTTAGCCTAAACAGAACTATATCCGCGACAGGTCGTCGCTGCTGGTGATAAGAGTGCCGGTTCTTTTCTCGCTCAAAGGCTAAGTAAACAATTCAGCATGGAAACGCAGCCGTTCTTGGCACGATTCCATGAGGAGTAGGACTGTATGATAATTAAGTTATTAGTTTTTTTTTTACTGTAGTTTTATAATATTGCATATATATATATATATATATATATATATATATATATATATATATATATATATATATATATAGATATCTATGGATCACATCATCCACTGACCATGAGGTGGACTATATGATCGTTACGTCACACTTACTCTATAAAAAAATATGGCCAAAGACCAATGAGACCAAAGAGAATGTTTTTGTTCACAGGTTTTACTTGGCCTAGGTTCAAATCCTCAAACAGCGTCCTGGGCCTGCGGAGGAACCCTTATCAGCGAACGCTTCATCTTGACCGCTGCTCACTGCACAATGGCGAATCGCGCGTAAGTGATCATGTGATGCCGTTAGAGAATATTACCCCATGTTGTCCCGTGGTTTTTGTAAGAGGTAACTATGAGAACCTGAACCATGTGATACTGCATAAAAATATCCAGTACCCCATGTCGTCCCAATGGTGTCGTAAGAGGTGACAGAGAGAAACTAAAATAGGAGATGAACAGCAACATCTTCCTGATAAAAGTTGAATAAAACTAAAAAACAGCGTTTTTAAACCTGCCTGCAAATTGTGGCAGCTAAAGTGTAAGCTGTGTCTGTAAGCTGAAGTGGCAGTGGGCCGGCCATATAGCTCGAAGAACCGACAAAAGAACAAAAGAAAGGTTCTTGAGTGGCAGCCTCGTACCGGTAGGCGAAGTGTAGGGCGACCCCCCACGAGATGGAGTGACGACCTGGTAAGACATGCAGGAAGTCGATGAATGCAGGTGGCTCAGGACCGTGCCTTGTTGCATTCCTTGGGGGAGGCCTAAGTTCAGCAGTGGACTTAAGAAAGGCTGTAATGATGATGATGATGGCAATACTCTATTAGGTAATTAATGGGGGGGGGGGGGGGGGGCTATGTTCAGTAGTGGTAATTCAACTATAATGGATGGATGTATAGAAGATAATCTACCAGGAACACATGATGCACTGAGAGGTGAAATTATTAAATCAACAGTAACATTACAACTATGGCAAATATCCCTCCTATGAGGCAAATATGGGGGAGGCCTATGTTCAGCAGTGGACTTTAATAGGCTGTAATGGATGGATGTGTAGAAGATGATCTACCAGGAGCACATGACCCACTGAGACGTGAAATTTGGAAATCAACAGTAACATTACAACTATGGCAAATATCCCCCCTATGAGGCAAATATGGGGGAGGCATATGTTCAGCAGTAGACTTTAATATGCTGTAACGGTAACGTTAACCTAACTTGTTATATTTTCTCTTACTAAAAACTACCACACTTCGGCTTCGGCTGCTGTATTTATCAATTTACTAGTAACGAGGCTCTTGCAATATAATTATTTCTGTATTACGTATAGAGAAATACTTTTCGTTCCAGTTACGTGAGCTTCGCTCTTCTTGGAATATTAAACAGATCTGAACGGATCAACACCTCCAATCTCTACAGGATCAAGAGGATAATCAAGCATCCCAGATACAAATCCCCGTCGAAATACAACGATATAGCCTTGCTTGAAACCGAAACGGAGTAAGTCACTTAAGATTACTATATTTATATTTATATATAAAATTTACGTGTCACATTGTTTGTCCGCGGTGAACTCCTAAAGTACTATACCGATTTCAATGAAATTTTGCACACTCTGTGCAGTTCGGTCCAACTTGAGAGATAGGATAGTTTTTATCCTGATAAGTGACACTCAATATTTGTTTATTACCAATTTAAGCATTTTTTTATGAAGGTTCGTCGAAAAGGGCAGAACAACGTCTGCCTGGCCAGCTAGTGTTTATATAAAAATATTGGTGCATCTTCTGAAATATTTACCCGAATGACGTTATATTCACTTCATATATGTGTTTCTACCAGATGGTTCATAGTTATGATAGAATCCGATAGGTGGCACTATGGTCAAGTTACTTAAATCCCTATATGTATCTACCAAAATGACTTATAATTACAATATACGTGGTAGAAGCATGCTGCAGCTATATTATAGTTGTAGAACAAATGATTTGGCACCGAAAGGGCCACACTCTCACAGAATACCAGCGTGAATTAGCAGCTTAACGCTGGTATTCTGTGAGAGCGTGTCTTTTTATCCCCGGTCGAGTTGACTCATTAGAATAATATAATAATTTTTATTCAATATAGATTACAATAATGAATTTGACGGATCCGTGGCGTAGTGCCTTAGCAATTGAGTTGCAGTGCTATGGGGCGCGGGTTAGAATCCCGCTCGGAACAAGTGTTTGTATGGCCTACAAATAATTATTCCGGATCTGGATGTTTGTCCTTGTGCAATTTATGCTTGTAAACTGCCCCCACGATACAGGAAAGAATCATAGTGTGGAGGTTACGTTATTTTTTAAACAAAAAAAAATTTATTAAATTTTTTTTGATGGTGTGGGTAACAATCGAGTACACAGCCCACCTGATGGTAAGTGGTTGCTGTGGCCTCGTTTGCGAATCAAAATGCAGATGCGTTGTCACCCGTGATGACTAATATGGAATGCCTCTTTTCCAGTAAAAACGGTCTCCGGTTCTCTACACTCACCATACGAAACACAGCAGCGTTAAGCTGCTATTTTACGCTGGTATTCTGTGAGTGTGGTCCTTCCCCGGACGAGCCGCCAGATTCGTGCTACAAATATACTACTAATATAGCTGCAACATGCCACTACCACGTAATAACGTACTCTACCACGTACGTTATTTAAGTTCTACCATTGGTTCAGAAAAAGAGCTCTGTCCTAGTAAGAACCAGCAAGAAACTTTATTTTATACAATTAAGTATAGCTGTCACTTTATTCTTGCTACAAGCATAATATAGCTGCAACGTAAAAACTACTTGTAACACACGTATGGCCTATTTTTCATCATCATTTAAATAATGTGAAAGATGAGTTATATTCTCTTTCAGAATCAAACTGAGTGAGGATGCTGTGCCTGCGTGCCTCCCCGTGGACACAACAGCTCCCGACGAGAAAGCTATAGCTACTGGGTGGGGGGCGACCGGCTACAAGGGGTTGAATTCTGATTCCCTGCAGAAGGTACGTTACAATAAATAAACAAACACACACGCAAGCACACGCGCGAATTAAGGCTGAGCACCCCTGCCAAATCTCATTCGTTGGCACATCATCAGCAATCCCATCAGGGTCAAGCTTATGCAATAAATAAGCTTAGTAAATAGTTTTGTTGCATATAACTTAAGTATAAATAGACAATTGTAATCATTTAATATTGAATATTGTAGTAATAAACTTCTTATATATAAATATATTTTTTATTGAAGTTTGGTTCATTATCTTAATTGGCACACACACACACACACACACACACACACACACACACACACACGAACACACACATAGGAGCGCTCTCTCTCTCTCTCTATCACGCACACATACACACTCACGCACATACACACACGCACGCACGAACACGCGCACGTACGTACTTAAAACTCTCGCACCCACATCTCTATATTTATACATTTTTACCTTAAAAGCTCCACTGAGCTGAAATAACTGAGAAGTTACCGTTAATCACTATTAACGCACTGAGAAGTTATTTATGTTTGAAGGTGATCTGTAACAACTGTTTTTGTTATATGGCTAACTAGCTGTTCCCCGCGACTTCACCCGCGTATAATTTAGGTTTTTAATTATGTCGCGCGGAATCCTAATGCTTTTTCTAAAATATAAGTAGCCTAAGTTACTCCTTATATCTTCAGCTGTCTGCCAGTGAAAGTGCCGTCGAAATCGGTCACGCCGTTTCGGAGATTAACCGGAACAAACAGACTACAGACAGACAGACTTACAGTTTTTGTTTTAAGTACTGTTATTTTGACATTACAAACAGACACTTCAATTTTATTTATTTGTATAGATGACTATGATATGACAACGTCATAATGATCGTCATCGTCATACTGCAACTATATTACACTTGTTGTACGAATGGATCGCCTCGACCGGGGAAGTACTACGCGCTTACCTTACTTATCGTACGCAGAATACAAAAGAGCAGCTCAATGCTGGTGAGTGTAAAGAACCGGAGACCCTTTTTTACTTGAAACGAGGCATTTCATCTTAACCCTCAGGGTATCAACGCATTTGCAATTTGGATTTTTTTCGAGGATAGATGTAGATGTCTATGGGCCACAGTATCCACTAACCGTCAGGTAGACTGTGCTCGTTTGTCTCACACTCGTACTATAAAAAAAAATTAAAAACTTCCAGTAACTAATTCTAGGTCCGACCACATAAGCAATCGTATTTAAAACCACTAGATCAAGGAGAAAGTCAAAATATCATTTGTTATTTCAATTAAAACCACGGCCTCCGAAATGTTGCAAGTGGTCCAAAACATTTATAAAGAATATAGTATATTTTTATTCAATATCAATTACAAGTAATTCTTATTGAAAGTAATTTTTTTTTAATTTACCACTGGTTCGAAAAAATCCTCTGTCCTGGGTAATAAATATTATAGTTGGTATTTAATTATCAAGAGATGGCGATGTCACTAAAAATAAATAAAAAATAAATCGCACTACCGGTTTCGTTGGCATATAATATTAATAGCTGTTTTATTTTTAAGTTATCAGAGAACAAAGAGAATATAATCACTACGTCAGAGAACTCCAGTTGCAGAGTTTAAAACCGGACTTGAATAACCGTAACATTTACCGCGTAGTGGCGATGTAAGAAAATCAACTGCCCAAATCGTTCCGTGGGTGTCGTGAGAGGCGACAGAGGAAAACCAACCAGGAGATGGGCAGCAGCGTCTACCCAATTACAATTGAAAATAAAAATGCGTTTGCTAGCCCACATGTCAGGCACGGCAACTATGGCAATTATAAGAGGCATTTTTATGTGGAGGTTTATATTTTAGAAGGTAGACTGATAGGCCATTACTGTTAATATATATGAGAATAACAAAACAAAGCCTTAACCAAACTCCAAACAAATTTTCTATTCCAGGTGATATTAGAAAAGTTTCCCGAATACGAGTGCAAGTCGAAATATCCCGCGACACGTCACCTGGAGAACGGGTTCGATCCCAACACGCAATTATGTTATGGTGACAGATACGAATCGAAGGACTCGTGTCAGGTGAGTAACAATGCAATATCTTAATTAGGTGGGCAGGTTTTGACTGAGCAGACCAAGATTGTTTGTAACATCAGCGCTAAACTATTTTAAATAAAACTAGTTTTTGCGGTTTTTATCGCGTATATACACTTATTTTATATTCTCGACGTTTCGAACACTTTACAGCACCCATGGTCACGGGGGGGGGGGGGGGGAAGAGGTATTTGACATCCCAATGTCATAGTTAACCACGGCTACCTCCAAATTAAAATTATTAATTTTTGTTCCGATCTACGCAGTATGAACCTATAGTATCTTGAATACTTGCAGTTGTATGCTTGGGTTGGGATTTATTTTATTAATTTTAGGATCCTAAGCAGATGCTAGCACCCAGCCATCTTCTCTATTGAAATTAGGATGTTTCTTGATTTCAATAGCCTCGCGAATTATCCTTGGAAGGAATCGGTGTTGTTTAGCGAGGATTTGTGGTCTATCAAATCTAATGTACTTGTAGTGACGGGGGCGCTCCTGTACGTGGTCACATACTTCAGACTTCCCGGATTCTTCACATCAGCTATGTGTTCTTTAATGCGGGTTTTATTGATCTTTAAGTTTGTCCTATATAAGAGAAACCACATTCACAATCAAGCTTGTACACTCCTGCATATTGCCGAGGGACATAACACTTGACTGATGGTAAAAACTGACTAATCTTCTTCGGCGGCTTAACGTACGTTTAATGGAAGCACGCAGTCAGTAACACCTCTAACATATGGCAGTACAGCAGACACTCGTTCGATTGTGGCTGGCTTCACTCGTTCACTGTGACGTAGGCGCGGGATCCGAAGCTTGTTGTCGTGCAAAACTTGATTGACCTGTTGGAGCTCTGCGGCCAGGTGTTTACTGCCACAGATGCTCTCTGAAACAAAGATTTACCCACGGTAGCTAATTGTGAAGTATGATGGTGAGAATCACCGTTTAAATATCTATCTATAGTATAGGTCTTTTTCCTACACACATTGTCGCTCAAAGTGTTATCAGGATTCCGAATTACCAATACATCTAGAAAAGCTAAAGAATTATTTGTCTCGATTATTCGAACTCGATTGTGGACTGAACTTTAGAATTTATATAGTTAAGATGGTCTAAGTCAACTACCCCCCTGTGACCATGCGCGCTGTGTAAAGTGCTCAAAACGTCGGGAATTTACGCGATAAAATCAATAAGAACTAGTCTTATTTACTCGTAAATGTGGTAGTATTCGCGTAAATATAAGAAATCATTAGCGAAAAACTGTTTATGCACTTGCACATTAAATTAAAACGGGTCACTGCAATTATTACAGTGACCCGTTTCAACTTGGTCCTTCGAGCCGGATTTCCAGGCTTCATTCGTTTTTTACTGTATCATAAAAAAGAGGTATATGTAAAGATTTTTTTAAGTTTAAATCATTGATTCTTTATTGTCGTATCGTAGTTCATAATTACAGTCATTTTTATCGATGTCCACTACTGAAGATAAAACTTTCTCGAGGAACCTTGAACCTTGACGTAGTAGAGCCATGCTGCAGCTATATTAGTAGTATAGTTGTAGCACGAACAGGTCGGCCCGACCGGGGAAAGGACCACGCTCTCACAGAATACCAGCGTAAAATAGCAGCTTAACACTGCTGTGTTACGTATGGTGAGTGTAGAGAACCGGAGACCCATTTTACTGGAAAAAAGCCATTCCATCTTAGTCCTCACGGATGACAACGCATCTGCATTTTGATTCGCAAACGAGGATAGAAGTATATGTCTATGGGCCACAGCAACCACTTATCATCAGGTTAGCTGTGTGATCGTTTGTCACCCTATCCTATAAAAAAAAGACTAAGTTGTAATTTAGATGCTGCAAGTATGGTTGTCACTTCTTCGTTCGCGTACTTCCCCGGTCGAGTCGACCCAGTCTTGCTACAACCATAATATTTGTATTTGTTTCTTTAACGTTTGACCCCAAAATTAACATAATAAACGAGACAATTATTTTTAGGCCATACAAATACTTGTTCCGCGGTCCTCAGCGTCGCAGCGAATTTCTAAGCCACTGCGCCATGGAGCTGGAGCCGAATAACCGCAGCATGACTCTACCACGTATAATTGTTTAACTGCTTTCGTTGAACGGCAGGGTCGGGAAGGGCCGCCCTAGACGAAGGTTTATCGACCAAATCGGCGATATATTAAAAATGGGCCAGATTAGGAGTACCCTTAACAGACGAGCGTGTATGCGTAGATATATGGATGTAAAAGAGGCGAGAGAGTCCGTAGTCTCTGCCTACCCCTCTGGGTGACAGGCGTGAGTGTTTATGTTTATGTATGTATGCTTTCAGGGTGACAGCGGGGGTCCGTTGCAGTTGAAAAACAACAAGATTAACTGCATGTACACCGTAATAGGGGTCACATCGTTCGGCAACAAATGCGGGATCGTGGGGGAGCCGGGGGTCTACACCAAAGTGTCTGCCTATGTGCCGTGGATAGAGAGTATAGTTTGGCCATAGGATCCTGGCTAATGATGCAGAGTTCTTGATCGGTTCCGACTATGGTAACCATTCAGAAATCCCGAGGCAACAAACGAGAGGCAACTGGACTGGACAACATAAACATAATATAATCTATATCTATACAAATAAATAAAATTGAAGTGTCTGCTTGTAACGTCGGAATAACAGCGTTTTACTATATGCATATGAAAGTATATACGGTACTTATAACAAAAACATGATTTTTAAAATTTTTGTCTGTCTGTCTGTTTGTTCCGGCTTATCTCCGAAACGGCTGGACCGATTTTGATCGGACTTTCACTGGCAGATAGCTGATGTTATAAGAAGTAATTTAGGCTACTTTAATTTTAGAATAAGTATTAGGGTTCCACGCAAAAATAAAAACCCATGAAATCCAATCGTAATAAATTACGCGCGGATGAAGTCGCAGGTAACAGCTACTCATAAATAAAATTGAAGTGTCTGTCATTAATACTGAAGTAACTGCCTTATATTAAACTGAAGGGGGGGGGGGTTATTTGCATGTTATTAAGTCATGAATCACCATTTTTTTTAAAAATATCTCTGTCTGTCTGTTTATTCCGGCTAATCTTCGGAGTTTCACAAACAGCAGAGCAGATCGCAACGCCAGGAGTGATCTGGGCTATATTTTATCTGAAATTCTTGGCCATTTAAAAAAATCTATTTGAAATCTAAAAATAAGCACCGTCCTATCCTCCTTAACCTTCTTTTGTATGCAAAGCTTGTAGAACGAAATGATAAATAAAGAATCAAAAACAGAAGAGGCTTATTGACTTCTAGCTGGAGCTAATCTTACTAGTCTTGAGTACAGGCGAAAATTAGCCAGCTATTTGGTCTTATACAGGATACATTTTGGAGACTGTACTCAGGAATTACCGTTACGGTTACACCTTATTAAGGTCCATTGCTGAACATGGGCTTCCCCCATAAATTGCCTCATACGGGAGATTTTTGCCATAACTGTAATGTTACTGTTGATTTAAAAATTTCACCTCTCAGTGGGTCATGTGCTCCTGGTAGATTATCTTCTATACATCCATCCATTACATCCTAATTAAAGTACACTGCTGAACAAATAGGCCTCCCCCAAAAATTGCCTCATAGGAGGAATATTTGCCATAGTTGTAATTTTATTGTTGATTTGAAAATTTCACTTCTCAGTGGGTCATGTGCTCTTAGTAGATTATCTTCTATACATCCATCCATCACAGTCTATTAAACTCCACTGCTGAACATAGGCCTCCCCCATAGATTACCTCATAGATAGATAACGTTACTTTTGATTTGAAAATTTCACCTCTCAGTGGATCATGTGCTCCTGGTAGATTATCTCCAATACATCCATCCACTACAGCCTATTAAAGTCCACTGCTGAACATAGATAGGCCTCACCCATCGATTACCTCATAGAGTAGATATTTACCATAACTGTAACGTCTGTTCATTTGAAAATTTCACCTCTCAGTGGGTCAAGTGCTCTTGGTAGATTGTCTTCTATACATCCATCCATGACAGCCTAGTCCACTGCTGAACATAGGCCTCCCCCATAGATTGCCTCATAGGACAGATATTTGCCATAGTGTAATGCTACTTGTTGATTTGAAAATTTCACCTCTCAGTGGGGTCATGTGCTCCTGGTAGATTATCTTCTATACATCCATCCAAGGCTCCATTGCTTAACATAAGGCGTCTCTCATATATTAAGATGGGTATTTTCCATAGTTGCCACGCTTGGTAAGCGGGTTGCAACCGTAGTTTCTCATTTTTAGGTGTTATTAGATGAATTTTATGTTAGCATGTATTACATGAATTAATACCTCCCTCACCAAGGTTTCAATATAAATAAAGATTATTCTATTCTATTTTAATAGCTGTAAGATGCCGCTGCTCATCTCCTGATTCAGATTCCGTCTGTCGCCTCTTAGGATACCCACGGGACGATGTATTTGCACCAATGTATAAAACATGGATTATGTCTTATAACCAATATAAAATATAAGGATAACATACAAAATAGTCACAATCCGTCGCATATTGTTCTTGATCAAATCGGTAGTTTTAGAGGAATAAATAGGGCATACAGAATGATAATCAAAATTTACTTTTCAAATATCTTGCAGCATGGATATCCTTTCTTGCTGTTGCAACGGTGTTCGATAGTTGATAATCTATAATCGATATAGGACATGCTTAAATAGTCATGTCCGTTCGTATCAATTTATTGATACTTTCATTATAATATTTATACTAATATAATTTAGCTATTTGAAAATAAAAATATTTAAAAAAATAATTGTGTTTTAATTTTTTTTTGTCGTTATACCTACAACACCTCTTTTCTAAATATATCAACTGTTACCTGACCGACGAGAGTTTACGCTTTATTAGGAGACGATAAATTAAAATTGAATAGGTACTAATAATTAATTTAAGAACCTCTAAAGAGCTCAAAGGAGAGAGCCCCTCTAAGGATCCCAAAGACCAAAATAAAACACCAGTAAAAAATTATAATTTATGTATAGTATGAGGCTTCACAGCCTTGGGCCAAGTCAAGTAAATAAAGAGCGATTATCTTCGACGCTTTGTCTTAATGTTTTTACAAAAGTAATGGTGACAAACGATCACACCAGTCCACCTGATGGTAAGTGGATACCGTAGACCATAGACATCTACATCTATCCTTGAATTAACATTAAAATTCCGATTCATTGTCACCAGAGTTGGTCTAAGACGAGACGTGCTTAGAGATATATTGGTAACATTAATTTATTTAAAACAATCTTGTCAGCTTCCAGCACAGGCGTAGAATGGCCAGTTTTTCGGTATTCTATAGTGTGCACAGGACTTGTTTTTCCTCCCTCCCCTTGCTACCATCGGACAACCAGGCGGCAATTTGGTTCGAATGTGTGGAATATCCACACATTCGAACCAAACTGCTTCGTCTTTCGTAATGCGTACAGTAAAGGAGTGGTAATCTGCCAGCGTCTGTATTTTCATCCAATTACAATTTCGGCGTCTTCAAGGCAATAGTGAATCTTGAGCTTCATCACGATTTACCACCAGGTGAGATTGTGCTGAAGCACTAGCTATTAATAAGTAATAAATAATTTAAAATTTTGTACAACCGACTTCAATATAAATTATTAATAATAACTCAAAAACTATTGGTCTTAACCTTGATCAAATTTATATGGGACCACATGTGAAGCACCAGCTTCCAAATAAAAATATAATCACTGAAATCGGTTTATTCAGAAAAAAGTTAACACACATCAAAAAATATACAGTCGAATTGAGTACCTCCTTTTTGAAGTCGGTTGAAAAATGGGAGAGGTAACCTACTGGTCTAAGGCCACACAACGCTCTCTATCCAGGGTACGTAGGCCGACACCTTGGTGTATATCCCCGGCTCCCCGATGAACCCGCAAGCCCTTCCGAACGACGTCACTCCCACCACTGTGTACATGCACTGGACCTTCTTGTTCTTCAGCTGCAGTGGACTGCCACCACCACCCTGGAAGATAAACGGAGGATTATAGGAATAGAGTCATTTAAAATAACTCGAATTGTTATAAATATAATTTATAATTAAAAAATTTGTACAGCCGACTTCAATATAAGTTATTAATAATAACACAAAAACTATTGGTCTGACCTTGATCAAATTCACATGAGACCACACGAGAAGTATCAGCTTTCAAATAAAAAAAGAATCATCGAAATCAGTTCGCCCAGTAAAAAGTTATGAGGTAACACACATAAAAAAAACCTACAGTCGAATTGAGTACCGTCTCCTTTTTGGAAATCGGCAGAAAATAAAAATAATATAAAATTATTTTCGTTATTTTACCGCGTTTTTTTTTTCATGAGAACATTGTCATCCGTTTCCGGGCTATGTTTAAAATTTCAAGTTTTTAACTCACCAGGAAGTTAGTATAAAATCAAAAATTGCCAAATTCGACCCGAACATACATACACGAAAGCGAGTTAAGAAAAACGTTTTTTATTCCTGCGCCTGATCTCTCTCCGGTCGTGTCGGCTTACCGTCCCGTCGGACTATGAGAGTGAGGCAATAGAGTGCACCTGTGCACTATGATCCTGTCCTGCGCTGATGGCTGGTCTCCGTTGAGATCGGCCGCGGCGACCGAGACCGGTCTGGTGGACATAATTATTTCGGTGTTGTGGAACACTCGGATGGAACGAAGTTTCTTTCGTAGTATGTATTATTTATAAACGTATTAGCGTCATTTAAAATAATGTTTCTTTCATGGCAAAATAAGAAAAAGTGCGAGGGAGATGGATATTATTCCATCTCGCTTCCTTATAGAGCCTAAGGTCGTGACGAAAAACTCTTACTTTTTTTCGCCTAGCCCCCATCCGCCAAGTCCGTATCGTGCGATAAGGAACTTCGTTTTAAAACATGGTAATAAAAAATAGTGCGTGTCAACTCCAACATGTGACTGGAGTTTACTGCTAAAGAAGCTATCCAACCATTTTGAGATTATATTCACAATTTAGTGTGGTTTGTTATTTAATTATTAATGAGATAACGAATGATATTTTTTTCGAATAAGGTATTTATTGGAGTTTACTTTTTAAGAATCGATTTTATATACCCGCGGCACACCCTAAAAAGAACATACAGTCAATCACCGCGTTTGATGTTATCGGAAAAGCCTACATAAACCATAAGTTCCTAGGGTTGTCAGAACGCCAAGTAATAAAAAAAAATAAAAAACTGATTTTATTTTATTTCACGTTTAATCAATTTTATGTGTAATCGATGAAACCAATTCCTTATCTTTTAATGAGGACGACCCACTGTTTTTTACTGCACATGTAGTATGAGTCATATTAATTTATTTGCGTGACAGGACAACCCTAGCGGACAGTTCACGAGAGGCTAAAGGCCGCTCGAAAAGTGCTCAGCCCGCGTCGCGACCCGCACCGCACCGCACGATTGCCCAGTCTAGACGCCTTCGATGACCAACTGTTATTAGTAGCACTCTACTAACAGTCGGTAATCGAATTAGTTTCCACATACACATTAATTTGTTTACACATGAAAAAAATAAAATCGGTTTTTATTTTTTTATTACTTCCCGTTCTCACAACCCTAGCAATTTATTTTTTATGTCGGCTTTTCCGACACCATCAGACGTGATGACTGACTGTATATTCTTCATAGGCTGTGGTAGTAGTTAGACTGTGCTCGCGGCACACGAATTAAATGGGGAGCGAAATTGAGTGTTAACGATAAGTGAAATCTGACAAGTAATACCCACATTAGCTCTCCTTATACTAAATGCGTGAAAAGATGGCGATAATGGTTGAATTTATTTAATAGAGAATGCCTGATGGCGTTAGTTTCGCTCTTTGTATTATCTTTCTGCCGACTTCCAAAAAGGAGACGGTACTCAATTCGACTGTGTTTTTTTTATGTGTGTTACCTCATAACTTTTTACTGGGTGAACCGATTTGGATGATTCTTTTTTTATTTGCAAGTTGGTACTTCTCGTGTGGTCCCATATGATTTGATCATAGTCAGACCAATAGTTATTGAGTTATTCTTAATAACTCATATTGAAGTCGGCTGTACAAAATTATTAATTTTAACTTATTTGTTATAGGGAATGCAATAATAAATAATATATTAAAATTAAAAATTTTGTACAGCCGACTTCAATATAAGCGACTTCAATATAGGTTATTTAAGAATAACTCAATAACCATTGGTCTGACCTTGATCAAATTCATATGGGACCACACGAGAACTATCAGCTTTCATATAAAAAAAGAATCATTGAAATCGGTTCGCCCGGTACAAAGTTATGAGGTAACACACATAAAAAAAACATACAGTCGAATTGAGTACAGTGTCCTTTTTGGAAGTCGGTAGAAAAAATGGCAGTCTGTTGGGACTGCCGACAGATTAAGTGAAAACTTAAACTATGAGAGTGTATTTATTTCAATTTTGAAATTATTAATAGTGGCATCAAAAAGTAATCATCTAAAATCCGCATCATAAAATATGATTTTCAAAGACCTACTCAATGCTAAATGATAGCCCACTTGACATAGTACGTTGACTTTTTTTTCTTTTCAGCAATATGGCATCTGGTTGTCGCCATATTGAATTTTAATAACCGTCATGTCTTTAGTGACACTTATAAGATTAAAACTAATCGATTGACGGAAGAACCATCGAAATCGGCCCACGCGTTTGATCTCTAGAGCGCCATAAAAAAAAACAAACATACATACATACATAAATAAGTTGATAAACACCATTACCCTTCGCTGTCGGGTAAAAAGTGTCCAACGCGGATATCATTCGCGCATCACGTCACACTTACAGCTACGGATATATAAATGTTATCTCCTCAACAGTATTTGATATACATATATTATATGTAACAGGCATTGCTGCTATATTTTACTGCCCGAGAAAAAATAATTTTCTAAATTCGTGTTTTCTTTAAATATATATGTATAATGTTATGGTTTATACATCGATATATATATGTACTACGTACTAGATTGCGCATTCCGAACATACACTATGTTCAACTGAACTGTACTGCAATCCGTACAGTGTGTCATTTAGTGTGGTTTCAATATTCATGCAGTGTGGAGCGGCGCTAATAATACAAGTAAATAAAATTATTTGTTGTTCAAGTGAATAAATAGGTAATAATATCGTTATATTAAAAAGAAAAAGTCATGAAGAAATTATATTTCTTTATGTAAACTGACCGCGCAGGCGCAACGCGCTTAAAACAACTGCACATGCGCGACTTTACTATCTCCCGCGCATGCGCTAAGACATGAGTGCACATTTTTTTATTTAGAAAGGCTTCTCTAGTACGTAGTACATATAACTCAATGGGTTTATACAATAAAATATAATTAAAAAATTCTCATTGAATAAAACTACTTTTTACGGATTTTATCGCGTTTAATTAACTTATTTTATATTCCCGACGTTTCGGTTGCTTTCCAGCAACCATGGTCACGAACATAGATAAATATGTATGTAGCAAGCTAGTCACGAAGGACTGAGGTGACTGACGTCCCGATGTCAGAGTTAACCCGGAGTATCTTCAGCTTTTTAATTATTAATTTTGGTCCGATCTACGCAGAATGAATTATACCACCACTGCAAGACTTCAAGACACAGTTAGTTCATTCTGCGTAGATCGGACCAAAATTAATAATTAAAAAGCTGAAGGTACTCCGGGTTAACTCTGACATTGGGACGTCAGTCACCTCAGTCCCACGTGACCATGGTTGCTGGAAAGCAATCGAAACGTCGGAAATATAAAATAAGTTAATTAAACGCTATAAAATCCGTAAAAAGTAGTATTATTCAATGTGTAGTATTCGCGTAAATATAAGAAATCATTATAAAAAATTCTCATCTAAATTTATATATATTTTTATAGGATAAAATAAAAAAAAATATTATTATAACATTAGTGTTAAAAGCAAGTATCACAGTAGTTTCCAGTAATATAAAAAAATGGCGCGAATTGACTGCCACGATGAATGACAGTTACAGATTATTACAATACTTGACTCAAAGCCGGGGTAGTTGATATTTACTGTTGAGGGGTTAACATTAGCATGTTGGCGACGCGAACTCCTAACCTAAAGTAGTTTTTATCTCAATAAATAAATCTTACCTGGCAAGTGTCCTTCGACTTATGCTTGTCCCGGCAACAGATTTGTGTCTTGGAGTCGAAGCCATTCTCCATGAGCCGGGCTGGCGGGAACAACAGCGTGCACTCAGAGTCCGAGAGTTTTTGCAGAATCACCTGCAACGGAATATATGACCTATAGAAAACTGTTATGGGTGGGTTCTTCTTAGACTTTAAAAATTACCAGCCAAGTGCGAGTCGGACTCGCACATGTAGGGTTCCGTACCATCGTAATACACATTTTAAGTAGGGGAGCCCCCTTTTAATTTTTAATTTATTTTTATATTTGGTGTTATAGCGGCAACAGAAATACACATTCTGTGAAAATTTCAACTGTCTACCTATTTCGGATCATGAGAAGTGCCAAAGATTAAATAGGCGTGACAACTATAAGTTATTTTTATCTGTTACAATAAAATTAATATGAACACTTCAAACGATATTTTCATTAATAATAATTATTAAGACAAATGTTAAGTTTTATAACAAATGAATGTAGTCCTTCAGTGTAGTACAGTAGAGCTTAATTTGAATGTACTCAATTTTAATGCCTCATCTACTTCATTCTCTTTGATTAATATAAGTATATAATCAAAGTTATTTTATCCATAGACATAAATATAATGGACTGTGCGTTCCGTATTCAGTTATGCAGTGAATACATATCGAAAAGTGCGATAGAGACAAAGCGAATGTGTGATCAGTAGTTGTCTCTTTCTAGAATTCTGAATGGTCCACGTCCTGCAAGCCAGTGACGCAATCAGGGTTGCAGGAAAGAGACAGGTATTGGCCGCGCAGTCGCTTTGTCTCTTTCTAGAGAATGGTCACTTTTGTGAGGTTAACGCTCAGTTTATCTCTCTGTGTTTATGATTTTATCGAACAAATTGGTTGACACTTGACTCTCAAGGCGCCAGTATTACCACAATTTAAAGAGAGTAAGGATTACGTAAAATAGGCGCTAGATAACCTAAAAGCCAATTGTTTAATAAAAATCGGTAAGTCATGAAATCATGAATTTTAATAATAAATTGATCAGATATTATGATAATTTTATACAACATGGTTAATTTTATTTATTTAACAAATGTGTTATTTATTTTTAACTGTTCATTTTAATGGTTAAAAATTACCAAAAATACCCATCTTGCCACAATCTTCAAGCGTACAGCACAACGCGTGCTCCGTGGCGCAGTGGCTTAGCAATGAGTTGCATAGCTAAGGACCGCGGACTTGAATCCCGCCCGGAACAAGTATTTGTATGGCCCCCAAATAACTGTTCCAGGTCTAGATGCTTGTTCATGTGAAATTTATCTATGTAAACTACAGAAGAAAAACCCACGATAAAGGAAAAATCCTAGAGAGGTACGATTTAAACCATAACAACCAATAAAACTGTCAGCCATAGAACTACACGTCAGAAGTGAAAACTTTTTTCAACGCAAACATCGATAACAATGTTGGATATATTCGACAATAAAACTTTGTTTTTGTCATTTATTTTTCTACATAAACATATGAGTGCATGAAGTACTCACAATTACACTGCACAGTCATTCTACAATTAATCAAAGCAAATAATGATTATCGAAAACACAATGAGGGCGTCCACAACTTTTCTGCCACCAGGACGGTGCCACTAGAAATTGAGGTATCTGACTGATTTCAAAGCGGGGAAGTTAATTTGTTATGTTTCTTTCTGTACTATTAGCTATATTTTATATTAATAAGATTAAAAAAATAAACCAAACCACAGATATTCATAAAAGTATAAAATTAAAAAAAAACTGTGCAACAAATTAAAGAGCAAACTACTGATGCATTGTTTTGTGTATTAATATACCCTAGAAACTGATAAACTTTTATTAAAAACCAACTTCTCAATTAAATAACATCGTGTAACAAAAAACTTTACCTCAGTGTCAACTAGCGACATCTGGTGAGCAGAAAATTATTAGCCCTCCTTAAACCAATGCACAGTATAGACAAATAAGACATTTTAAGTTGTCAACACATCTTCACTTAATGCTCATTACTGCTTTTTTTTTTTTTTTTTTTTTTCTCTTTATTTGGGATAACAAACAATCGTACAATATAATCACATTATTAATCACAATACTATATTTAAGCTTAATAATCATACAATCAACACCGTTATCCACATATTACTATTGGGTCAGTGTACTAAACAATTAAAATTAAATTTTTAATGTTTTATTAAAACGACCCGTTCACTAGTAGATACAGAGAAAAACAAACTGATATATATATATATATATATATATGAATGTACATGCGCACGCATATACACATACATAGTTAATACATAAATGTAAATAATTAAATTAAACATAAATAAACAATTACATTAAATTGCATCTGATACAGATAGAAACTCATACACAGCTTTTTTAAATTTGGAAGAAGTTAATCCAAAAATATCTATTGCATTAAATTTCTTGTTGTATTGTTCCATTATACGATTTAAAGGTGCACGCGCACCGGCATTTGTTTTACTTGGTTTAGGAAAGAAAATTTGATGTGATTGAAGCTCACGTATACGCTTCGAGCGACTGGGTATACGAATGTATATTTGATTGGTGAGTTCATTACAGTCAAATTTGTTATGACAGATATTGTAAAGCAATGTTTGATCCAAGAGTATTCTTCTTGATTCTAAAGAAAGAATACTGAATTTTCTTAATAAAAGTTCATAACATTCATTAGAATTACTTTTAAAGCATTTGAACATTGTAGATTTTAAGAACTTTCGTTGAACACGCTCCAACTGTAAACTATACTTATTATACATTGGACTCCATATAACTGATGCATATTCGACCTGAGATCTTATTAGAGTTTTATATAAAGTTAAAAATGTGGTGGGATGTTGGAAGGAAGAACATGTCCGCATCACAAAACCATAAAGCTGAAAGGCTTTATTGGTTATGTGCGTTACGTGTTCATCAAAGTGTAGTTTAGAGTCTAAGTACAATCCTAGATCCCTAATTAAAGATACCGATTCCAACGTAGTACAGTTTAGTTTATAAGTATATTTAATAATGTAAATTTTTTTTGTGAACGTGATATGTTTGCATTTTGATGTGCTTAAGTGAAGTTTATTTTTTTCACAGTAGTTTGCCAAGCGATTTAAGTCTTGTTGTATTTTGTCACAGTCTTCGATAGTATTGACACTGCGATAAATTTTAAGGTCATCTGCGTAAAGGAGAAATTTCGTAAAACGGAAACAATCACCGATATCGTTCACAAATAAAATAAAAAGCAAAGGCCCAAGAATTGATCCCTGCGGTACGCCTGAGCTGACATTTATAATATTAGATGAGAAACCATTAATAATAACCCGTTGAGATCTGTTTAAAACGTATGATGAAAACCATCTTAACAAGTTTCCTCGTATTCCATTGAACGCCAATTTCTTTAAAAGTATGTTGTGATCAACCTTGTCAAAAGCCTTAGCGTAATCAGTGTAAATTGCTTCCACTTGCAAACGGTTATCCATGCAGTGAAAAAGATAATTTGTGTAGAGAACAAGGTTAGTTGTTGTTGACCGATGTTTTACAAATCCATGTTGTTCAGGTATAATTATGTTATGTAATGTAGGATAAATTTGCTTATGTATTAGCCTCTCAAGAACCTTTGATATAGTTGATAACAAAGATATGGGGCGGTAGTTAGAAACGTCGTTTTTGCACCCACTCTTGTAGACTGGTGTTACATTGGCGTTCTTCCATATCTGGGGCATAGTCCCTTCACTAATACATTGGTTAAAGATAAGACACAAGGGAATACTAATAGCTGCAGCAGTGTGTTTGAGGAAAAATGGTGGAAGGCCGTCAGGTCCAGGTCCTTTGTTAATATCGAGTAACATGAGCTCTTTGACTAAACTATCCTCAGAAAAGGAGATATTTGAAATAATCTCAGAATTGGGATTAGTAGGCTGATTACTAAAATTCTCCTGCTGTAACTGCTGTCTATTTTCATATACTGAGCTGAAAAATTCAGAAAATAATTCACATATACCCTCAGGGTTATCCGATTTTTTATGTTTATAAATCATAACGTTAGGAATTCCATTTTTACCTCTGCGATTGTTAACATAGGACCAAAATGATTTGATGTCCTTTTGAAGTCCCTCTTCGATGGAATTAATGTAAGTATTGAAGCAATCAGCACACAGTGTCTTAAATCTGTGTCGAAGTAATGAAAACTGGGAATAATCCGCTTTATTATTATATTTTTTCCATCGTATCCAATATTTTTCTTTATCTTTAAAAATATGGATTAGGGGTCGAGAAAACCAAACTGGAAAGTTACTGCTTTTTGACGAACGAAGCGGTACATGCATTCTTATAATTTCATAAATTTTTTCATAAAATATATTAACTGAAATTTCAGCAGTTAGCCCTTTTAAAAGAGAGTACCAGTTGATGTCAGAGATAGATTTACAAATGTTGGAATAGTTTGCTTCTAAATATTTGAACCTCGGAATAGACGAGTGAGTCATAGATTTATATGTGTGGCCTAGAGATATAACCGTATAAAATGCTGGATGTAGACGATCCAATGGCAGTAGCGGATTTGGAGGCAGCTCACAAACACAATTATCCTCGTTACATAAAAACAAGTCTAAAATACGGCCCAAAGGGTTTCTTATGGTATTTAACTGTTTCAAGTTTAATGATGATATAAAGTTAAGCAGTGATTTTTCATTGTTGGTAAGGTGGGGGTAAGAAGATGTGGATGCTATATTTAATGCCGTTTGATCACTGCCCAGCCATTGTAGATTGGGAAGATTGAAATCACCAACTACGTAAACGTGCTGGTAGTTAATCTCCACAATTTTGTTACATAAGGATGTTAAAAAATTTTCATAAATTAATCCGTTCATATTAGGCGGAATGTAAATACCGCAAATAATAGTAGTATCACCCCTTTGACTATTAAGACTGAGAAATACATAATCAATACAAGGTGAAATAGGATAGTCATGTGAACCTATTAATTCGTACCGAGCAATGGGCAACCCTCGACGCACCGCAATTAAAACTCCACCGCCGTCCCGTTTACCTGTCAAGACTCGGTCCCGGTCGCAGCGATGTACTACATATCTATCATCTATAAATTCGCTGTCTAGAATATTCGGAAGCAACCACGTTTCACTTAATATAATAAAATCGTAACTGTCTGATAATATATTTGTATACAGAGTGTTTAGTTTGGTTCTTAAGCCCCTACAGTTTTGGTAATATATTGTAAAACGATCAGTCATCATCTTTGTTAATTTTTAATACATGAACATTACCTAAACCTATTAACAAGATAAAGAAATAAAAGTAAAAAAATAGAAAAATTACTAGTATCATTAAAGTAACAGATATACTGGGACTAATGTATTCTATTCTTTTCCAATTTAACATGATAAAATATAGCTGATTGTGTATAATGATTATTAATATATAAAAATTTGCCCAGTTATTTCTAATCAAAGTGCTATGCAAATACATTACTTGTAATTTAACAGTTATGTTTTTTACGCAGTGAAATTCTATTTCATAATTTTGTGTTTCATATGTTATGTTAATCCCAGTAAAAGAAGTATTCAGAATAAATAAGCGAGAATAATAAATACTGCTTAATAATATTAAAATATGTTCGACAAATAAAAATAATAAATTAATAACGCTTGGTGGGTATGTTAAACAGTGTGACTTGCAAGTAAACTTCATACGCTTTACAATGTTCATACAATTATTAGTATTAATTTGACAACGAAGTATTTTTAAAGTAGAATATTGTTTGTAAAATATCGTAAATAAATCCTTTGTGTAGCAAACAAAATGCCGGTAAATAAAAAATAATTCAATATACACGGCGAAGAAGTGTAACCAACACAGAGCAATGAAATGTTTAGAGATGACATTAATTAATATAATGCTTTTTGATAAATACCTTTGAATAACCTCTTCGAGACAACAAGTCAATGCAGATGGAAATAAAATGCTAGTTTCAGCTATGTACGAGTAGCAGTAAAAATTAATTAACTGGACCATTCTTTGATTTGATTTTGGATAGATCTTCGCCAGAACGAATGCTGATAACAGGAGAAGTATCGTTTGCACGCACCAAGATGCTGCCGTGCTTAATCCAGGTGTATCTGAAACCATTCTTCTTAGCAGCTTCCCGAACCTCACGAAATAAAATTTTTCTCTTCAGAGTTAGGTGCTCATTAAAGTATAACTTGTGTATAGTTCCGGGCATTTGCAGTTTTTCTGTTGTTAAACCTTTCTCTTTGCGAGCTGCTGAAAGAAAGTTATCACGTAACATCCGATTCGCAAACTTAACAATGATATTCTTAGGTCGCCCACTTTTGGGATTAAGGTGTGGTACACGATGAATAGCGACAACGTCGTATTTATTAATTGGTTGTTTGATGACATCAGCTATATTTTCTATAATCGAAATTAAATTTTCATTTCGTTTTTCTGGAAGATTAACAATTTCAATATTGCACTGGCGTGAGTTAAGCTCTAAAATATCAAGCTTGTTTCCTACCTCCATAATCAGATCGTCCTTGTTTTGGGATGATTTATATGTTTTTTCTATTTCAAATAATCGACTGCGGATCTCTTCAGTTTGGTTTTTTAGGTCGTCATATTTGTCATTAATAAATTGGATTGAAGTCTTCAAGTCTTCAAAATCTTCAATGAACTTGGTTATTTTATTATTTTGTTTGTCGAAGAACTCCTTCATTGATGCCATTATCTTCTCTTGGAAAGAATGAAATTCACTACGTAGATCCAACACATTTTGATCAGCTACACCTTTACGGAGCGTCACGTAGTCAGGCGAAGATCCTTTTTCTTTCAGAGCAGTGTCCACACTCATTTCACCATGAGATTTATTAGAAAATCGGGTAGCGCTGTTTTGTTTGGTGCGAGTGTTATTGAGAGACATGACAATAAGTAATAGTAATTGTTATCTCTGTATATTTATTGCTCTGTGCAATAAGTAGCCGTGTGCCAACACTATTCGTATGTACACGATGAGTCACTAGGCGATCGGATCAAACACGAATGCACTGACTGACACACGTCCGGGTTGCAGAAGAGCGCGTAACTGCTATTACAGCATGCCGGTGACGCGAAATCACAAGATTTTTACCCATGCAAGAAGTCAAACACGCATATGATACAGTCGGATATATACAATATATAAGTGTATATATGCTTATGTACACAGGCCGCTATACTACGCGTCGCTAGTCTGACACAAGCGCAATACATCACTGTCACGTGTCAAGGTCATCGGTGACGCGAACCCATAAGTTTTTCCCCTACCAAAAACCGCTCGACGCGGCTAAAGAAGTTTTTACTTCAAAATATACTTACCAAGACGGACTCAGTCGACAAGGAGTTTTGCCCCGCCGTAATACATGACGCAACAATATTTATATACAGTTCCAAACAAGTTCTACATACCTTCTGGAGTATATCCGCGCCGGATCCCCCGTTCTGGGTTGTCCACCACCCAGATGCTATTAATGCGCGCTCGTCAGGAGCTGTGGTGTCGACGTGCAGACATGCCGGGACTATATTCTCGTTTAAGGTCATACTGAAATGTTTTTAATGAGGGCTAGCTAATCTTACGCTTACCAGATGTCGTTAGTTGGAACTGAGGTGAACTTATTTTTCACGCAGATGGTCACACAGTGTCATCTTCGTTGAAAATTTGCGTTTCATATTTTTAAAAAAAATCGGTTCTTGTGTATACATAGTGTATTCGCGTGAGGGCTTCCTGTCTGATAGAACTCTCAAAACTAAAACTTTACCTCAGTATCAACTAGCGACATCTGGTGAGCAGTTACAAATATTAGACGTATATTTTCGGATACCTACTCAACCTCCGTTTGCAGCAGAGCGATATCATTGTACTTCTTAGGCGGCTTGTAGTCGGGATGCCTGATGATCCTCACGATCTTGTAGCGCTGGCTGCTGTCCACGTGTTCAGTACTGCTCAGGATGCCCACCAGTGCGTACGTAACTGGACCTCTGGAACGTTTCAAAATGATAACTTTGACACATTTGGAAACTTTGACATTTTAGAAAATAATATTATCTTAGAATTATTATTAGAACTAGAAGGCTTCCTTCGCAACAAAAATGACCCAAAAAGAGAGGTTCTAAAAAGGAATGTCATCTCTTTCTAAGTGGTTGCTAAGATAAAAAAACATGCGTGAGTGTCGTGGAACACTCAGTTGGAACGAAGTTCTTTTTGTGATTTATTATTATTGATAAACCTAGGTATAATATTATTGATTAACAAATACAAATAAGTGAATTATTAGCGTGAGTAATATTTCTTTCATGGAAAAATATGAAGAAGTGCGATGGAGACGGATATTATTCCATCTCGCTTGTACTATACGGAAGTACGGGGACGTGACGGAAAAATCTTACACTTTTTCGCGCCTAGCCCTCATCCGTCACATTCGTACCGTGCGATAAAGAACTTCGTTCGACCTTAAAATATTATTATTCAAAACCGGCCTTTACGAGTACAAGTCAAAAGTAACAAAAACGCTTCAACAAGTCTTTACTAAGACCTTGTAAGAAGAAGCAGTAAAAAAAACTGACAAACAAGTTAACCATACAAGTACAGTACAAGTTTACCATAAAAAATATATACATATGTACAAAAAGTCTATCAGAGCTTACTGTGTCAACGCATTCTTTATAAAATTAGGTTAATTTGTAGGTTTAGGTAAGTACAGTTTACATCTCTGCTAAAAAGGTTTTATTAACTTAAACCCATAACATACGACATAGTACTTACTCCTTTACTTTAAAATAGAGTCCCGCCGAATTTGTTGTTAGTTATTCCTGGGACAAAGGTTTTTTTTTTAATCGAACCAGTGGTAAAAGTATGATGAATGATTTTCAATAAGTATTCTTACAATCTATAATTAATAAAAAATAATTACAAATTAAATTAAAAGTATTCTGTTCTGTTCCATTTCGTTCCATTCTGCTTTATTACATTCCATTCCATTTCATTCCATTCTATTCCATCCTATTCTGTCTTATTCTATTCTATGTGTATTCTATTACATTATATTCTACACTATTCTAGCTCCCCAGCTAAAAATGTTAGAAAGGGTCTTACAGTTCACGTGCATAGGTGCAGTGACCTGCTGTCAAAATAAACCGTTCGCTGATGATGGAGCCACTACACTGCCACTGGAGTGCGTTCACGGCACTGCCAAACCCGAGTAGAGCCTGTAAAGATATATTCATCAGTCAGAAAACTAGTTATTGGATGGATGTTAGCGAAGCTGTCTGAAACTAAGAAGCTCACATAACGTACACCTACCCTACGTCAACTCAATCTGTGTTATCTCACTGAGGGCATCCGCGACATTTTCTGCCACCAGGGCGGCGCCACTTAAATATGAGGTATAATATTTGACAGATTACATTGCGGCGAAGTTAATTGGTTCGGAAAATGCAAAGGTTAATGTTTATTTCTTTACTATTAGTTATAATTAATATTAATTAGAAGTAGTGTAGTTGTACCACTTCTAGACCACCTGAGTCAGACGTGGTTCAACGACGTTCGTCGACACCCGATCCTAAAAAAAAAAAAAAGGTTTTGGCATGCTCTGATCACGAATACGCGGTCCATTTTTGTGTAGAATGCACGGTTCCGGAGATGTGTAGATCAATTAGCTAATATCTAATTAATATCCGGTAAGTCATTAGCGTCCCATTGTTCCTATTTCTATTGTTCTATTGTTCATTAATCACCTTCATTGCAGCGTGTGCGTCGACTATATCAGTGCTATTGTATTGTACTTCTTTGTTCCTAATTATACAACGCTAATCTGAATCATCAATAAAACACATTACATAATTTTGTTACAATTTTTATTTATAAAATACAAAATCTTATTACTTATTATCTATAAAATAGGAGCGAAACATCTCATCCACTAAAATATCGTTGTACAATGTGTTCCTTGTAAATATACTCGTAAAACTATGTATTGAACATACTTGAAACTTATATAACAAATACATTAAGCAATATTCGCCACAAACTGAAGTCCACTCATTCTGAATCCTATCAACATTCCAGTTCCATCTTTTACAATTCCTTTTTAAAAACTGTAGATGATATCGTACAGGTGATCGTCCATATGAATCAAAATATTGACCGACGTCATTCGTATCGATATATAAAGCTACCCAATGTGACCCTGGTTTATCATCTGTATCCAAATTACATATTATATACGTTGGTACGTGGGTATACATAGGCAGTCTATTAGCTGCATAAACATTATTTTCTAGACTGGGGTGAATCTTTTTCAGATGTTGTTGTACATCTAGTGTATCCATGATATTACTGCTATTAGTACATTATTACAGTACCAATCTACTCAATGAATAACATAGGAATGGTCAATTATAGTGATTTCTAAATATTAAATTGCATTTTTGTGTTATACAAATCGTACTTGAGTCATTGATCACCAAACAAAACACAATACGAAGAAATGTTGAGATAGACAACGGAAATGTGAGATAAACTGGTTGACGCATAAAGTAATTATCAACTCAGAACGGAAATACTTTAGATTAGAATTTTTACGTACTGGTGGTATATAAGACCAACAGACGCAGTCATCGAGTTAGTGTACGGTCGTTTGACTACAGTGGATCTATCAATAGTACATTTGTGTTACTTCAATACACCAAAGGCTATGGATGTAAGTGTTTATTCTATTGACTAAATTACTTTTTTTCTGTTATTTTCATGTGTGTGTATTATTTTATTTAAATATTGTGTATGTATATGATTAAGCCGTGGTAACTCAGATGGTTAGCGCTAGCTGTAAATTTCACAGTACGCGACCCGGGTTCGATCCCCGCCAGCACCAATTAAATTGTTAATCGCAATTTTAAGTGCTTATTACCACGTGCTTGGTGGTGAAGGAAAACATCGTGAGGAAACCTGCATGTCTGAGAAAATTTCGAAGGCATGTGAAGTTCGCCAACACACATTGAGGGAGCGCGGCGGACATTTCCTTGCTCTAAAACCCTCTCAGAAATGAGAGGAGGCCTATGTTCAGCAGTGGACTTTAATAGGCTGTAACTTTAACTTTTTTAACTTTTATGATTAAGTGTTAACAAATTGATATTAACATGATAACTGTGTTCTTGCAGAAATCATTGAGCTTCGATGAAGATACCTATAAACAGTATTACTACTCGCCACTCTCCCCTCAAGAAGAGAGTGATAACCTCGTCATTAATAATAACACATGCGATGGTGGAAAAAGAAAATCGCAATCGATTGATCATTTTTTTGAAGCTGAATCAAAAATAAAAAAGAGGAAGGGAAAACTTCAGTGAAGTGTGCACCAGTGCTTTTTTCTCCACAATCATGGAAGAGAATACGGAACTATTCAATAGCGAATTAAATTAGGAGTTGTCTAAAGTTTGTGAAGAAATGGAGAGGGGTCAACTGTTCGATTCGTCATACGATGATGAGTTGTATCATCACTGTGCGATGGTTGAAACACAGTTTAAGTATGTAAAATAAACATTCATTTCGATCATAATTTACATATTGTCTTATACAGTTTTTAATAAATTTAAACATTTTAGCAGTCAACCACTACAACTTGGAAGAGGAACGAAGCGAACGTGCAGCAAAGAATCCAAGATCATCAAAAAACCAACAACGGAAGCAGAAGCGCATACCTCTGCAGGGAACAGTATCAGTAACGATGATCAAGTGGAATGTCCAACGTGCCATATATTTATCAAGAAACGGTATTTAGCTAATCATTTTAAAAGTAATGTTCATAAAAATAATCTTTTAAATTCACATAATTCTTTATCAAACGTTAGTGTTATTGAATCTGCTTTTGGAAATAGGATTTTAACTTATAAAATCAAGAGTAGAGTAGATCGTTCGACATGGGTAAATTTTGAAACTCCTGAACTATTTTTAAATTCTATTAAAGATGATATTTTATTTTTATTACAAGAGTGTATTCATCAACACATAATTTTTAAGGTAAACTTCATATTGCATGCTGATTTTGTTCAACAAACTAAAGATATTCATGATACGTTCGATTTTCAAACGCTTAACTATATTATTTGTCAAGGAGATGACTTAAATATTTTTCTTTCATCTTTAAATGATACAATTACTACTAAAATTAGTGCTTTCGAAAAAAAAGATAGTGGATGGAGTCTAAAAAACATAAAATCTATAGACATGAATGTTAATAAATTTAACCCCCTACGCGGTACTTCATACATAGATCTTCCTCGTGACATAAAATTAAAAAAGGCTGTTATAAATGTAAAAAACAAGGATTATTTATGTTTTAAATGGGCGTTACTCTCGGCGTTATATCCTGTAAACAAACACACCGATCGGGTATCATCGTACGTTAAACATGCAAATAAACTTAAATTTGATGGTATTTCCTTTCCGGTTAAAATTTCTGACATAGCAAAAGTAGAGAAATTAAATGATATTAGTATTAATGTTTTTGGGTTAGAATATAATAAAGAAAAACGATGTAATTCTATAGTAGGTCCATTATTTTTAACAAAGTGTCGTAAAGATAGACATATCAATTTATTATTTTTTTCCAAGGATACAAAAAATCATTATTGCTATATAAAAAATTTATCGCGGTTAGTTAGTAAACAAATTTCAAAAGACGGTCACATCATGTACATTTGTGAAGCATGTCTACTTCGTTTTCCATCTCAGGAAAGGTTAAATAACCATGAACAATACGATTGTGCCCACATTTGTACAGTATTACCAAACAGTGAAACTTTAAAAAAAAAGAATTGGTTTGGTCAACCTATTTCAAATGATAAAATTAAATTTGATAGTTATGAAAAAAAGTTAAAGATACCATTCGTAGTTTATGCTGATTTTGAAGCATTTTTAAAACCAATAGAATCATGTTCTAACGATCCTTCCAAACCTTTCACTCGTAATATTCAGAAACATGAAGTACATAGTTTTGGATATTATATAAAATGTTCATATGATGATAAATTATCAAAATATGTAACATATTGCGGACCCAACTGTGCACAAGTGTTTATGGAAAGTTTATCTAACAATCTAAAAGAAATAAATAGACTTCAAAAATATCCACCACTTCCGCTAACAAATGAAGACAAAAACCAAATTTCAAATGCAACCATTTGTCATATTTGTGAAACTGAGTTGGCAAAACATTTTTATGATTTTGATTGGTACACTGGTAGTTTTATAGGTGTTGCTCATGAATCATGTTGTTCGAAGATCAGAACACCTCGTTATATACCAATATTTTTACACAACCTTAGTCACTATGATGCTCATTTTATTGTTCACGCGTTAAACTTTTGTGATGGTGAAGTCGAAGTTATCCCTCAAAATAAAGAAAAATATATACCCTTTTCCAAAAAATTAAAAGTGAATAACCACGAAATTATATTGAGATTCTTAGATTCATTTAAGTTTTTATCGTGTAAATTAGAAGAATTGGCCAAAAATCTCAGTAATGATCAATTTCAAGAATTACGTAGAAATTACCCTAATGATGAAGATTTCTTTCGTTTATAACGGAAAGGTGTTTATCCATATGAACTTATGACTAATTATGATAGTTTAAGTCTAACATCACTCCCTGAACAAAAATGTTTTTATAGTTCACTCACAGATTCACATATTTCAAATGATGATTACAATCATGCTAAAGATGTTTGGGAACATTTTGGGTGTTGTAATATGCTAGATTATTCAAACCTATATTTAAAAACAGACGTTTTACTTTTATCCGATGTATTTGAAAACTTTAGAAAGTTATGTATTAATACATATGATTTAGACCCTGTCCATTATTACACAGCACCCGGTTTAAGTTGGGATGCAATGTTAAAATATACAAAAATAGAATTAGAACTTTTAACAGATTATGAGAAAATTGCATTTATTAGATCAGGTATCAGAGGTGGTGTATCTCAATGTAGTAATCGTTATGCTAGAGCTAATAACAAATACATGGAGGATTATGATACAGGGAAACCAAATTCATATATCACATATTTTGATGCCAACAATTTATATGGTTGGGCTATGTCTCAGTATCTTCCTACTGGTGGATTCGAATGGGTAAATCCAAATACAGAATTTAATGTGTCTAAGACATCAGACTTCGGTTTTATTTTAGAAGTTGATTTGGAATATC